TCCTTCCTTCCTTCCTTCCTTCCTTCCTTCCTTCCTTCCTTCCTTCCTTCCTTCCTTCCTTCCTTCCTCTCTCTCTCTCTCTCTCTTTCTTTTTCTTTTTTTCTTCCTTCTTTTTCTTTCTCTTTTCTCTCTCCTCCCTCCCTCCGGCTCTTTCTCTCTCTCTCTCTCTGTTCCCTCAGATGTCTAAATTTAGGCATTTGCCCCTGGAAGATAAAAGAATTTGAACAGTTACCATGGCTGATGACAGCATAAATTATTGCTGAGCTCATGTACTCACAGATCATTAAATTGTTCCTGGCATTTTGGTATTTTGTAAAGGGACTGTAGCTTAGACCAGTTTTTTTCTCCTCTTTTGGTGTCTCACAGTGCTTACTTGAATCAAAATCCATTGCAAATTATTAGGACATCATGTCAAGTATGTGAGGTTAAGATCAAGGCTTATTCCTGGTGGTACATCATTATTTGCTTGTATGACATTTTGAATAGCAGCTTACATGGCCTTATCTACCAATGAACCTGTGTTTAAAAAGCAAACAGAATAGTTGTCACGTACTGATAACAGAGTTAAACTTTATCTCTTAGCAGCCATGAGAATTTTGCAAAAATATTCAAGAAAGGAAGGGAAAGGATGCATAAATTGCAGCATTCTGCTTGTTGGAATTATCTTCAGGTATTTTTATATCTGACACACTGTGTAGCTTTTCCTTAAGAATATTGCTGTTAGTGCTGCTGGCAATGGGGCTTCCCATATTAAATCCATGAAGGAATATACAGTTATAAGAGCACTAACCTATTCAAGGTTTAAGAATGCTGTCTCTTTACAACTGTCCATCCTAACACAGACTTCCTTAAGCAATGTAAAAATTGAAGACTATTGCCTTAATCGTTCAGATATGTGATAGAAGCTTCTAAACTAACAAGAGGAAATGTTTATTTGGTGATATGAATTGTCTCATACATTTTCTTTCTTTTTTTAAAAAAACAGGAATAGGTTATGCTTCCATAGTGATTGTGTCTCTTTTGAATGTATACTACATCGTCATCCTGGCTTGGGGATTGTACTATCTATTCCAGTCATTTTCGTACACCCTGCCATGGGCTTATTGTCATCAAGAATGGAATACAGAAAACTGTGTGGAAGACACCCTCAGGAAGAACAGAACACTGTGGCTGTCACTCAATTCCACTAACTTCTCATCTCCTGTCATAGAATTTTGGGAGTAAGCAAGTTTCCTGGTTACTTTGTACAGCAAAGAGACAGGGATTGTAAATGGCAAGAGACACAAATATATTAGGAAGCATGCAGTATTGCCTAATCTTGTATGGGTTCACAAGGTATAACTATCTTGCTTAAATTATAGGGGGAGCAGTGGTGGGTCGCATTAGTAGCAAGCCATGTTGGAAGATTTCATTCAATAACATTTGGAAGTTAATACATTTCACATCCATAATGTTTAAAAAGCCTAAAGATTAATATTTTTTTCTGTTTTCTATATCATGCAAGAATGTGTGAACAGGTTCAGTAAAATAAAAGTGAAGTCTGCATAATTAAGGTTCCTTTCTAAGCCTCCTGTATTAGAATAAGACAGAATGAGAAATAGAACAGACTAGACTTTATTACAGTCACAGACCAACAAAGAAAATACTACCATTAGATAATCCTTAAACATCATGGCCCCTAGTAGGGCAAAGTTTACACAAAACATAGGCAAGCTTAGGGACCCAGAGTTGTCTTTTGTTGCTTACTGGATTATATAAGCAAAGTAATTCAAAATGCCTAGGGAATTTAGAGAGGAGACAGGACATCAATTTTCTAGATAAGTGGCCAATTTGTATTTTGTGAACTAGTTGGATTATGCAAGCTGCATAATCAATTGACTTTCCACATCTAGAATCTTTTCCTTCAAAATTGAGCTTCCTTACTCTAATCCCAATGGAAAAGAACAGTGCAAGAAAAGACACTGGAGTATAATTTCCTGGAAAGGACTTTTGTCCATGTGGAATCAAAACTATCTTCTATAATTAAAGGGAGTGAATCCAGCTGTGTAAAACTTTCTATTATTTGTTATTATCTCACTTGAAGTTTGTACATTCAGGAGGCAACTTCCATTTTATTAATGACATAATCCTGGATGTTGATGTTTGTGTAGTGGAATTTAGATATGCTAGGTTTATTGAAAAACTCACCTTTACATGCTAAGTGATGTAAATCATCATAAAGCCATTGATTATGCATCAGAGGCATAATAATTATAGTTTAGTACAACTAATGGTGGTTGCAAATTTCATGCTTGTTTGAGCATAAGTCATAAGGGATAAGCAAATGGGGCTTCATTTGTATCAAGTCCTCTTGGGATTATATCGCGTGATTATGTGCTTCAGTTTCTTAGTTGTTCATTCTACCATTTCTGATTATAAGCATAGTATTGAAAAGGTAAGAGTGAGAAGAATATCAGTAAACAAAAGTTTGCACTATTCACATAGTTAATCCAAGTTTTTAGAGTTTCATAATTAAAATTTATGGATTATTAAATATTGCGAGTTTGTTACATGCTTCAGAAATCCATCAAAGCAACCCCCCCCAAAAAACTAAGAAAAATCTGATCTCAAAAGCAGCCATTGTTTTTTTTAAACATCTTTGTATTTTTCTTCTCTTCAGTGAAATTTTTGCGCAACTTAGCCCAGTGGTTTCTTCACAACACACAAACTAGTTTAAGATTCAGGGTTAATTATAGTTATAATTTGAGGACTACCTATATATAAAGTTCATATATCTTAGAGAAAGCAATATTAAAAAGTATAAATATATATTAAGAAACAATTGGATATGAAAATAAGAGATCAATGCTATCACCACACTATATTTGCCTATCAAAGATGAGTTTTTGAACAAAGCCTGTGAAATTGTTTGGTAATATAATTGTTTGGTTGTCTTATGTATATTTTTTATCCTCCAGGCGGAATGTTCTGGGGTTGACTTCAGGCATTGATGAACCTGGTATTATCAAATGGGACCTGGCTCTTTGTCTTTTCCTTGTCTGGGTGATTTGTTTCTTTTGCATTTGGAAAGGTGTGAAGTCAACCGGGAAAGTAAGTTTCTGTTGCATTTCTGCCAGGCAATAACATTTCTTTTTCTAAAGATTAGCTTAGCTTAATTAAAGGCTTGACATGGTGTTTTTTTAAGTAAGCGTAACTCCAAAACATCATCACCTTGAGAGAATTATAGCATTAAGGAGTATCTTTTGAACCAAATATTTCAGCTGCCAAGCAGGATATTCAGAAATTAATTTTAAACCTGAAGCAAATTTGGGACATAAAATTCACAACTTGTTGCCTTAGCAAGGTCATGTTTCAACTATTTTAAACTTTTCAACTTTTCAAGCATATGACTAATTTATTGAAAAGATTGGGAATGTAGTTTCTAATAGCATTTCTAATAACATTTTCAGAGAACTTTTAAGAAGCCTAGTTTTTCATTTCCCCCCATTCTTTTTAACATTTATTAATCAAATGTGTCTAGCCACCCATCTCACAAAAAGTAACCCTGCTTTTATTCTAAAAGACCATCTTTTATAATCATTTATTAAGAGGATAATAGTACTTTTCCAAGAGAAAACATTACCAAATGGTAATTAGTTAATAGCTACCAGTAGGTCTCTTTTCATCCTAAAAATATGTAAAAGAATGAAGTCCAAAAATCTAGTTAAATTGCACAAGAATGTGATACATAATAATCAGGATCTTTCACAATAATGCTTTAATATGTTCTCTTAATTTAAGCATGGATCCTAACATTTCATAAAGATACCTGCTAAAAATGTTTATCTTACGTTTAAGCAGTAATCCCTTATTTAAATGGATTAGCTTGGCAATAGAATTTACTAATATAATGAATGTAATTTTTTTCTCGAGTACAAGCCTCAGTTCATATTACTTCATAGTAGATATATATAGAATTGTATTTCTGATTAGTTCGCATTCGAAACATCAGACATCCAAAAATAGAGAAAAGGTGAAAGAAATGTGATTACCATTGAATGTCTGTAGAGATTCTTAGTCGTCCAGGTCATAGTTGTCTCAAAGGTGTTTTTTCAAATGGCAGCTGCACTGTTTTTTCCTTGAGAAAGAAGAAGACATTTTAAGAAGCTTCATTGGTTACCATGACTACCATTTACCACCATATCTATAGCCTATGGTGATTTACCTAACTCTACTCTATATTGAGCAAAGTGGGGAGGAAAAATAAAATAAGATTTATTTATTCATTTGTTGATTAAATTTTTATGCTGCCCATCCCCCCTATAAGGTGACTCTGGATTGCTTTTAATTTATAAAAATAAGATTAAGTGACAGTTTTCTTTTAAAAATCAGGATGATCTGTTTACATGCTTACAAATGTAATTCCTATAATATTTCAAAACAAAAAAATGAAAATGATAATGAAGTGAAACATGTTGAATTTAGAGATCAAACTGTCTGCTGGACTTGTTAGGTTCAGCAGGCATTAGTGTCTTCCTGTTAATCACCTGAGGTTTACTTAAGAGGCAAGGAGACAAACCTCAAGAGCTTTTATTTGGCTAAACCAATTCCATGAAACAGAGGTATATTAAACTGAATAGCACAGGTGTAATTACCAAATGGTATCATATGATCTTATTTAAAGAATAAAGGACATTCGTTTTAAAAACCCAGTTTGAAATTAACTTGAAATTGTAAGGTTAATGAAGATTTCCAAAGCCTCTTTGCAGTTAACATTTTGCACTATAGTCAGGAAGACACAAAAGTGCCAACTGGTGGGATTCTTCTTGGATAGACCAAGGCAAATGTGACATTATATCATGACATTCTCAGTGAATGATGCCATTGAAAGAGTTTCCTATAAATCTAAATATAATTGACAGCCACGTCTCAGTTCTGATTTTAATTACGTGCCATCAATTCAGATTCCGCCCCCACCCACCCACCCCTAAAAACTTGGTCCTTCAGCTCTTCCTATAGTAACTCTTAGTAGCTATCCTATTGTAAGTGAGTCAGTAGTGAATTCTTATTTGTCATGGTTCTATTTGAACCTTCAGTTCTGTATAACTACAACAATAATATAACACAACTATAAACTTAAATTTCATATTTTTACAAATAAGAGCTTTTTCTATTTTTGCTATTTTACCTTTCATTACCAGGTTGTATACATAACAGCAACATTTCCATTCATCATGCTTTTTGTACTCTTAATCCGTGGTGTCACTTTACCTGGAGCTGCAGAGGGCATCAAATTCTACCTTTACCCGAACATCACTCGTCTGTCCGATCCAATTGTGAGTTGCTAAAAATAGGAGATAGTGATAATTTCTTCCCTGTATACTCTGGAACAAAATGCACGGAGGGCAGTGGGTTCATGCTGCAGATTTACTGATTGTTTAACCGATCTATACTTAACTGAAGCTTTCTACTGTGGTTCAGTTTTCCATTTTATCTTGTAAAAAAAAGCTATTATTAATATGTTAATGTATTTTCCATGTGTGTATATCTTTTTGTATCAAAAGGATTCTGAGGCTTGTAGACTCTATCCAAATATAGCATCTCAGCTTTTTTGTTGGTATTAGTCTGTGGACAAGGTAAGGGAAATAATTTGCTTCAGTCTTTAGTTAAATTTGTGGAGCAGCAGAAGGAACGGTAAGAAGCTCTTGTGAGTATTCCTAACTGTCCACTTACAGGGACGTTCCATGGGAGGGTAGCTAAAGACCATATTATAACTACAGTAGGAAAGAATTTTAAAAATGTCCCACTTGCTCTTTCTTATAAATGCTTGGAAAACATTTTTCCTTCTAATGTACAGGAACCCAGATTGATTGCTTTTGTTTTACTATGTATGAACCTTTTCAACTCCTTACAGATTGCATGTTAGAATGTGTTGTAGACAGCTACAAGATCTATTTCCTAAACTTGGGGAAATGCAAACCTGTCTATTCAAAAGGAAAAAAAAAAATGAAAGTATGAAACAAGCAGAATCAGATTTAAGGATGCAAAGCAGCCTAAATGCCAAAAGGCAAATGGAAATGCCATTGGGTACTATCCATCTCTAGTGCTTTTGCAGCATGCTTAAAGTCATGTAAGAACCGCAAGGGTTCGTAAAAAGCTGCTGCCATTCTTCCTTTTAAAGGCTTGGGGCAATTCTGTATCAGCCTACTTAGATTAGAATATCTGATTCTACAAGGCTGCAATAAGAAAAAATACCAAGGTTGGGATGAATATAATATAATCCCTTTAAAAATATGGGAGTCCATGAAAACTGTTTTCAAATTTAATTTTTGTTTTTTAGTAAATGTTCTTCTATTTCTGTTTTTTGTCTGCAAATGTGAAACTTTTTATTTATGTATATAAACCTATGCTTTTGTTCAAACTGTTTCTGCTTTAAGTTCATTTTTATACAATAATGTTGTAATATGCCATATGTAATAGAATTAACTTTGATCAATGCAACATGTTTATGTTTTTAGCAACTGCTGGTCTTTTTGAAGCATTACTGTTATGATAATGTTATTTTCAAGAGAGAGAAAAGATTGGATAGCTAATAGCTAAAACTGATACCAAGCACCATCTTCTGAGTTTGTTTTTCATGTATTTCCTTAGGTCTGGATAGATGCTGGCACACAGATCTTCTTCTCCTATGCAATCTGCTTGGGCGCAATGACTTCATTGGGGAGCTACAACAAATACAAATACAACTGTTACAGGCAAGTTTCCTACCAAAGGGGATTAGTCTGTTAGCTAATTGATGTGTAAGGAACCATGGGTTCAAATTTTCCTTTAATTAATTTCCTCCATGACATATGTGTGACATAGGGACTGTTTGCTGCTGGGATGCCTGAACAGTGGTACCAGTTTTGTGTCTGGCTTCGCAATTTTTTCCGTCCTGGGCTTCATGGCACAAGAGCAAGGGGTGGACATTGCTGATGTGGCAGAGTCAGGTACGATGGTATTGGTGGCAGTGATGGTGGGCACTGCCATCCAGTGTGTGAGCAAAGTTCGACAAGCTAAATCATCCCAAAACTCAAAGGAAAAAGATTTAGAAATAAAAGGTATTTCAGCAAACAAAGTAATGATTTATTTTACTGAGTAGTACAGTTTGAAATGCACTTTTTTTAAAAAAAGTGCTGAAATACAATACGGACTTGAATGCTCAGAACTAAATCAGAATTACAGGAAATGTAAATACTGTATCAAAAGGTGACCCTTTGGGGCTTACTCTGCCTTAGCTTCAATGAAATCTCTAATAGACATCGTTCTACAATATCCATGGACCCACCATCTTATTCGAAACTATGCTAGAAAATCTGAGTTGTGGCTTTTGGAAGTGCAGCTTGTATATTTTTAAACAAAACATTGATGGAATTGATGAAGTTTGTAACAAAGTGGTTCAAAAAAAAAAAAAGTGGATGAGAGGGAAAAGATATTCTTCCCTGTCACTCCTTGCCTAGACTTCCAGTATGTGAAGTTAGATTAGCCAATCCATCTTCCCTAGTTACACTACTGTATCTATGTGCCTAAGGCAATGTGCCATGCATATTTCCAGATGTGGAAGTCATACAGGGATAGATAGATATATATTCTTCTGATTGTGTTTGTAAAGCATTTTAAAGCTAAGCTTTCTGTAATCTGAAAGGATAGGCCCCTACTTATTTCTTTTGAACAAAGCATGCAAATTTTTTTGGACTTCCCTAAAAGCACTTGCACAGTTGACATTAAGACATGCTGGACCAGATGCTCAATTTATTACAAGTCTATACAATCTACTGAAATCTGTAGTGCTAAGACTCTTTAACAGCAATTCAGGCACAGGAGTACAGCAACTGGTTAAAAAAAAAAGTGTCTTTCCGAATTGGAGAGATTTTTATTGGCCATCATGGTTACTGCCCAAGTTATGTATTTTATTTGTCTGCCTGATACAGATCTGGAAGAGTCTTAATTGCTTAAAAAGGTATACATGTGAATCACCCATTAAAAGGCTGTATCTAATGTAATGTACAGCTAAACTGGCAGAAAAAACGTTTCAGGCAGGTACTGTGCAGAAAGCAACTCCATGTTGTGTTATGTAACAAATTGGTTTGTCTTCCTGTGCCATGCCATTGGTGATAAGGAATGGCAGTAAGAATTGTATGCTTAATTTCAAATTTGTATTTTTGCTGTAATTATATATATTTCTTAAGGCTCTTCGTGCTTTGAAAATGGTGCAGGCCTAGCACAATACTTCTCTGCTCTACCTTAAAGCTGCCTGACCTTTCTCAGGCTTCTTCATGACCCTGTAGAAAGATGCTGCTAAGACAAGCCGCTTCATTAAAAGGAAGGGAATGCCTCTTCATGTTTCTCCCCCCCCCGCCCCCCACAAGCTGGCACAAAAGTCAGGCTGCTTTAATGAATAATAAAGAGGTGGTGTGCATGTGCTGGGACAAAAGTCCAGAGCGTGCACGCCTCTGATATTCAATCCTGGAAAATGTGGGAGCTGCTGTGGCTGTTAATGTACTTTAATCTTGAATACACTACAAAGCTAGGTTCACTTAACTCTATTGATTTCAGTTAGTTTACACATTCTTAAGGCAGCAGTCTTGTGCAGTCTAACCCGGGACTAAGCCATGCTGGACACAGTAAGACTTAATTCTGAGTAAGCATGCATATAGGATTACTCTGTGCCTCTGGAATGGCAGCCTTTGTTTCTGAAATTTTGCATGCCTTATTCAACCATCCCACTGAACATAATTTCTATGAAGAGGTAGCAAGGCTTTATTGATGACTATGTTAAATGAGATCATTCATTTCAATGGAACTTAGTGTTAGGATTTTAACTAAAACAGCTTAATGAAAGAATTAATACACTGTAGAATAAATAAGTGAACAATAAAATTGAATAACATGGACCTTATGTGAGAAGGGGCCATCTTAGTTATGAATCCGGGGTACAATGTCTCTAAGATATATCCATAGATGTATAGATGGAAAAGGTTTTGTCAAACAGAATATTTGTTGGATCACAGAAGAAAATAATGACCATATGTGATCTTTCATCCAGCAGAATATTTATGATTACCTTAACAATGCATAATGCAAGGATAGGGCCCCAAAACTTCAATCTAAAGAAAGTGAATTGAATCTCTTTCTATTAGAATCAATGGCGTAACTGTAATTAAATACTTATTAATTTAAATGAGGAAAGTGCAGTTAATATATTCTGTGAAGTAGGTTTTTAGCATATATTTGCATCTTTCTAAATATATATTTTGTTAAACTGAATGATAAATAGAAGATGGCAAAAGCATGCCTGGTGAGTGGCCATGTACTAATTCATAGAGCATACTTTCCAGTTTAAAATATGGAAGAATAGCAAAAGAACAATAAACAGAAATATCTTAGTCTAATTTAAACAAAAAGCTTGCATGAAAGGTATTGGTGCAGTATTTTCCCATCATGGTCAAGGTATCAGTTTTAAATAAATACAAGCATATTTCAACTCTTTATTGTACCTGAATTAAAGGAGCCCAATATAAAATGATAATTATCTCATATAACTATTATAGAATTGTGGCTGTTTGGGGTTTTTATTGAATAATCCACAGAGAAAGCAATAAAAAAATGCTATTGACTTTGCTGTTGATAATCTTACTTGAAGGACAGATCTTCAGATAGTATTTGTTGCTTTGAATCCTAAGCAAATAATACTCACTGACTATGTTAGATATCTGCAATGGGTTTATTATTGCTGTATTGAAAGAATTTACTCATGTCATTTGGAAGTCCATTGTAACCAAGGATGGATACTATTTGGAATATTCTCCCAAGCCATTACTGTCTTCTAATGGAAGCTGTTACATCATTTCCTTTGTTTCTATATTTAACCCAGCATTATGTGATATTAATAGAATTCTCGAGTTTTACAACACTTCAGGATCTGGCCTTCTCTGACATAAATCCTAGAAACTACTGTTTGGGTTTTGTTTGTCCAAGGAAAAAGTTGTGCATGACTAACCCAAGAAAGAATTAAGAGCCCAGGATTTTTTTTTCTCTTTAAAGTTAATAACAATTAGTTATGCAATAATTACATCTCATTTAGTTCATAAGCTCTCTTTCTGAATGGAGTGTGCTGGGTTCTGCTTTTTTTTTTTTTCATTTACCTTTTAGATTGGAGCTGGTATAACCGTGCATGCTTCTTTGTCAGATAGAATAAATTCTTTTCTGGAATCCTCAGTTGGGTTTGGGTTGATCTGACTGGAATCAGGCAACTTATGAGGAGTGGTGGAGGGGGGAGGTTTTCATTCAAAAATGAATTAAATACTTATTACATTCTCTCCCTTTCCCCCCCTTCCTTTTTCTTTCTCTTTATTCCTCTAGGTCCAGGTCTGGCCTTCATTGCTTATCCAAAAGCTGTGTCCATGATGCCGCTGCCAACTTTTTGGGCTATTCTTTTCTTTGTTATGCTTCTGTTGCTTGGCCTGGACAGCCAGGTGAGTAAGTGGTAATAAATGTCTATGGTTTTTAATAGGAAAACCCGTACATAAATACAATTATTGTTATGACACTTTTTGCTTTGGAGCGTTGATCCATAGAAGAATCACTTGTCTTTCTTCCTACTAAGATTAATCAGGAAGTGACAATGTTATTCATTAACTGCCTTCTTACCATGACATTTCAGCGTAGATTTTATAATAGGAACCCCCAAAATTTCTTGAAATGCCCACTACCCTCTCTAGTTTCTGCCTCCACTTAGATCACGGGTGTCTAACTTGATCATGTCATGTGACATATTGTGATATATCATGAAGTTTTTTGCCTTTGTGGACCTGGGGTGGGCTTGTCCTGTGCATGACGCATCCGACCCATGGGCCACCAGTTTGATAGGCCTGGCTTAGAGCAAGCATGCTGTTATGCCTTTATTTACCCCTTTTAAATCTTACTTATTTCTACACTTCGTTGGGACAATTGATGCAGCTTCAAAACAAAGTGTTAAAGCTACAAGTAATAATATTGGAAATAAGATATGGAAGCTGCAACTTTATTTTCCTTCCTTCCTTCCTTCCTTCCTTCCTTCCTTCCTTCCTTCCTTCCTTCCTTCCTTCCTTCCTTCCTTCCTTC